GACCCTGTCTCTAAATAAAATATAAAAGAAAGGTCTGGGAAAGTGGCTCAGTTTTTAAGTCCCCAGCGTTCAATCCCTAGTAGCCCCTATTCTAAGATAAGTCCCTTTGAGCTCTGAAAATTTAGACTTTTATGCTGATTGAATTCATTATACATGAATTTGTGTTTACATACACATTCATCCCGTCTCTGTGTGTGTTTCAGCTTGTTCTTTATGTCTGATGGCAGTGATTCGTATACCCTTAGTTTATGTTTTTAGATTATTTCCTGGAAGTAGCAGTTATCATTTTCATCATTTAGGAGTAGTAACTACCAGTTTTGAAATATTTTCTGTGTCAGGCACCTTGTGCTTTATGTTCAGGATTTAAAACCTGTTGGCCCATGGACATGCAGTCATTTAAAAGAAACTGTGTTTGCATTCTCTTTAGGTGGAAATCTGCGTTAGACTTTACCCTTCTATTGTATTAGGCTTGGCCCAGTTTTCTTTTTCACTTCACATTCCCAGTCAGCATCCCACTTACATAGAGGATGTGACAAATGTGAACGTGGACATCATTTGTGTAGGTCCTCCTGTAGACCTGCAGACCAGGATATCTAATGCTAGTACTCCAAGTATTTGCTATCCAGTTATTGATCCAGACACACATTGCCATGGAACCTCCACACAAACCAGTTTACGTGGATGAGAGCTCATAGACTGAGACGCAGTTGCTTGTGAAATATGCACTTGTAGATTCTAAAAGCAAATCCCAATTCATGTACGACAAGCATTTGAACTCTGAAGTCTGACAATGAATTCATAAGATCAATGGAGAGTGTTACATGATGATTATGCGAAGGTGCTTAATCTCATGACATTTACCACTGAACTGAAGCTACAAGGTTAGCCTGCTTCTCTAGTGCAACACAAATGTTATGTGATTGAAATGCTGGTGTGCATAGCCCCAAGAGCCTTTGCTTCTGATCATTGGCTTTAAGCCTTCCTGAATAAAATTTGGGTATGCAAATATATATTTATGAAGTTTTAAATAATTTTCACATTCCAGAAAGATGGCAGTCTGATGGTTAGAGTTCATCCTACACTTTGCCATTCCTTGGGAAAAGTAGAAACCTCTAAGATGTATAAAGGATTATGAATGCACAAAAGTGAAAGGCAACTTCTATTTCTAAAAGCTTTCCAGATTTATGACCTGAGTGTGCCATTTACCTGTCACACTTAGTATTGAGTGTTTTGCTTTCAAAGCCTGAACAGTTAGATTATAATTTCCAGCAAAGTAAATGAGAATAATTTGCAGATTTATTAAACCCATACTCTGTCAAAGAAGGAACTGTGTATGTTTCAGTTTTCCAGAAGATTTTTATATACAGAAGAAGATAATGAGACATATTTAGAAATTGAGTCTAGCTACGAATATTTTGCCTTAGGAATATAGGCATACTATTTTACTTTCCAGGATAAAATTACCTTTGGAAGCACAGGCCCAGAGAATACATACACATTTTGGAATTTTAACAAAGAGAACTTTTGAATTCATGTATTTTCAGCAAGAGGAAAAACAATCAATATTTAATAAGATATTGAGAAATTTTATATCACCTGGGGATGAGTTCCACTTAATGATGAATAGTTTTAGGAAGGATAAAAATAATTATTTTACTTTTGTTAAAATTAACATTCCTAAAGATAGCTCAGGGACATCTTAACTCTGAAGGGTTTGCTAAAACAAATGCACCAGTGCTTTTGGAGCAGTAGAACATTTAAAAGAGAAGAAATTTTGCCTTTTCATATCACAAATAATCTGGTGATTGTGTCTATATGATGAAAACTGAGCTAAAGGAAGTGAGACGTGTTTTATGCTTAATGGAACAAATCTTTTCCATTTTGGTTCTTTATTTGCAACTTTGGGATGATAGCTTTTAGATCTTAGATACTTTGCTGAAATAAAGAATTTTCCCACATAGTTTGTAATCCCTTAAATCTTTCAAGTATTAAGTAGGCAAGAAGAAGTGCTTCTCCATATTTTTATTTATCCCTTTCAATTTTTTATATAGCTCCTGTGCCTTTATTATTCATTAGCTAAACACATAAACACCATTTTCAAATGAAGCCATCGGAAGTGCTTAGTCAGGCCCATTCTAGCTCATTCTCTGAAATGCATTTTTTTTCTCCTATACAAACTGCACTTTGCAGGCACAGAAAGCACAAGCACCCTCTGTCACTAGGGTCTTCCATTCAGAAGGATGTGAAATTAACTGTATCTTTCTTGACTTGAGTTTAGAGGAGATTTTCTCACTCAAGCATTGAGTCACTTAGTATCTGACAAACCATTTACACTTTAAAAATTAAACCCACTCACTTGTGATTTGCTGTCAGATTTATTCTTTAAAGGTCAGGCCCAGCGTGTGTTTGCCTCTTCCTTTGCTAAATTCTCAGAGAAGATACAAATGCAGACTCACCATATGGGGAAAACGCCATCTGATCCCCATGAGGGGGAATGGCCAGAAGTATTGAATGGAGCAGGTGACATTTAACCAATATGTGCTTCTTGGGAATAAAATAGAAGCAAAGCAAAGGGGCAGTGGGCTTTGCAGTTGTCACTGGGGCCACCTGCAGCATTAACAGAGGCGTTCACCCATTGCCTATCTGTGGCAGCACTGGGCTGAGAGCCTTGCATGCATTGTCTAAGTAAATCTGTAGAACAACCCTATGGGAAAGATGGGATTGTCTTCATTCCTTTTTAATAATTTAGATTAAAGGGAACTGAGAAATGGGCTCATGGACATGCAGCTAGTGATGAGTGAGACCCACAGATAGACCAGCGGGCACTTGGATTGCATCTGGATCCCCTTTCTTTTATTTATTTTTTATTTTGTAGTGCCTTCCTTTCTTCCTCCCTCCCTCCTTCCCTCCCTCCTCTCTCCCCCCCCCCCAGGATGGAACCCAGTGCCTTAGAAATGCTAAGCAAGTGCTCTATCACTGAGCCCTGGCCCCAGCCCCCTTTATTTTTGTTAGGCTGTTTCATGAAAGGCTCAGCTAGGGCTAAAGACTCCACCAGGTGGAATCAGAGGTTGGGTCAGGAACTAAGAATCTTGGAAAAATGTCTCTAAAAATGTTAGCTCCATGGAGGGGGACAGGTTTTACCATGATTTGAGAACTTTGAATATTTCTTGACATGGAAGCATTCAGTAAATGTATTTTCACTGAATTAGAGGAAGGAAGATTTGTTGACTATGAAAGTGGCTGACTGGAGAGGGAGCACTCTTTCACCTTGGTGTCTACTGTATAGTCCTAGCGCATGTTGCCCAAGGTGCGGAATAGTTCTTCCCAAAGTTGAATATGCATGTGGAATTCTTAACTATCTCATTAAAACACAGGTTCTGACTCTGTAGACACAGATAGAGACTAAGGTAGAGACCAGCAAACTAGGAGATGCCACTGTTGCAGATCTGCAGGCCCTCTTGTGTAACAGAGGATCAGGATGTCCAGATAATGCACTTGACAGTTTTTCTTTACTTCCTTGTCTGAGTTTCTGGAGTTCTAGGACTTGAGGAGGAGGAATAGGAGAGAGGTTAATAAAAGCTCATGGTTCAACTTCAAGACTCTAAGTGTAGAGTATAATTCTCAGTAAAATAAAATGAACCAGAATGCTCATGCAAATATGGACTTGCCCTTGGGAAGAATCATATGGGGAAACTCTACAGAAAACTGAAGCAGAGTTCTGCCAACAATGAGAAGGAGGCTACTGCTCTTTGTATTTTTGTATATACATTTTTTTCTTTTAAGTTCACATGAAAAGAATTGGGTCTTTCAAGTTTTTTTCCTTACTTTCATTTTTCTGTTCATTAGATTTGTTGCCTTAGAACTGGTGAACTTGTATGTGAATACAAAAAGAAACATACACACACACACACACACAAAAGCTTTGGTTTTAAGAAAGTGACTAAATGATAAAAGAATATTTAGAGCAATAATTGAAGAACTCTGAGCAAGAATTCAAAGGAGCAGCATTCCTGACACAGTCAATAGTTTTGGAGAACAGCTAACAGCTCAACAACTGGTATACAGAAATTCTCGTCTAGCAAGTTGGACATTATTTCAACAATCTCAATATTTAAATGAAGAGCAATTGAAATGATTGTTGCAATGTGCTAAAATTTATGGAACTGATGACAGTGTGATTTATTATATGAATTGGGTTATCTGGGAGGTGGGTACCTTAATTCATAATAATAAATATGTTCTTGAGATTGTGGGAGATGACTTTTAAAGATGAAACCTTTGAGGTGTCAAGTATATATACTGTTTTAAAATTCCCATTTTTTTTCACTTAAAAACTCATTTAAAGGAAACATCTTCTCACTTTGCCTTTTTCTGTTTGGCTTCTTGTTGATTACTGTTTCTCTGAGGGTAGTGCCTGGACTGTCTGGGACCCCCCAGGTGCTGTTTAGGGTGTTTTACCACAGTGTACCATTTTGTAAAAAGCACTGTGATGGATTAGAAAAGTATAGAATGCCTTGGAACAGGTGTTTACCCAGACAAATTGAAATGGATAGTTGAACACTTATCCAATTAATTTATTAAATGTGCTTAGTCAGTCCAGATAAATCAAAGAAATGTCCTCTTTCCCTGGTTCATCCTCAGCTTGAGATTGGCTTGAAGTGTCTCAGATAATTACCTAACTTTCTACTTTATCTTTGCCTATACAGACCTAGCCAATTTCTCTCACTAGTGAGGAAACTAAATTATTCTCACCTCTTCAGGAAACCTTTAAAAATCTTTAACTTTTAGAGGCTAATTTCTTGTTCTTTGTTTGGGACTTTAACCTTCTGTTTCTGATAGTTGTATGGACACATTTGCACTTCAATTATATAACACTGGAAGAGTGTACACTTTACCTTTCATTTATAAGGGGGATAATGTGTAAATTGGGTTTTATGATGGAGAGTCTTTAAAATTTAAAAATGCTAATAGGACAAAAAAAATTAACATTTGTTTTGCAGATGGCAGCTGAATGGCAGTGATATTGATATGAGTCTGGAACATCGTTATAAGTTGAATGGAGGAAATCTTGTGGTTCTTAACCCCAACAGAAACTGGGATACAGGAAGTTACCAGTGTTTTGCTACAAATTCACTTGGGACGATTGTCAGCAGAGAAGCTAAACTCCAGTTTGCCTGTAAGTTTATGTTCACACATCTTGTAAAATGGGTATTTAAAAGTATTTAACTTAATTTTGAGTTTTAATAACAATGTGTCAATTCTATTGGTTCAAAAAATAGATTGAGAAAACAACTCAATGTGATTCTTTGGACTTCTATGACTTGTGCAAAGTAGATCTTAAAACGTGTGTGTATATGTGACTCCTTTATTACTATTTTGTATGAGTTCCAATTAGAGAATGCAAAACAAGGCAGTTAAGAATCCTGGATAGAGCAGCTGCTCCATCCTGGAAAGAATGTAATAGAATAGTCAGGCGTGGTCCTTACTGGGCAGATCATTTAAATTACAAACATATCTTGCAAACCTGGAAACATTAAGGAAGAAAAAACAGTGGGAAAAAGAAGAAAATGACGTATGTGGTGATATATTTTTGACCTCCTTTGGGGAATTGCAAAAAAGGACCCTCAGCACAAGCTCCCCTAAGACCTAGCCTGGAGAGGTCATGTTAATTGAGCCCCCTTGAGGAGGTGACCCACATTAAGAAAAATCATATTCTTCCTCCACAGAGTTAGGAATTGAGACCAGAGGCTCAGTTTAGTCTTAATATATGTCTATTTTCTACTTTTTGTTTCTCTTCTCATTTGTTTTCTATTTTGTATATCATACACATCACCATGACTTTGGTACTTAGATTTCTTTTAGCTCTTCGTACCTCTCTAGTTCTGAAATTGGAATGTATGTGTTCCAGCACTGTGGTAGTGTTCTGTCTCAGCTCCCCTCACAAGCCATTATTAAATTAATGATGTGCTCTTAAGGCAGGCCCACTGCTTGGCTCTTTTCATAACAGCCCTGGTCGGTTTGTCCCGCCATTCCATTCCATACTGACTTGCTTCTTCCTTTGTTTCCCCTCGTCCCGCCCCCATATGCATAAGTCGTTGTTGTTTTTTAACCTGTATATTTTCTGGGTATTTTGAAAGCTATAGGTAGTGTTTATGTTATGCAATCTGTTATATTTGAGATTAACAAAGTGTTTTATTTCATAAATAGAGAAATTTAAGTTTAGGGATTTTTCAGTGTCTTTTCATTTTAAAGAGTTTAGATCCATTCATCCTTAGTGTATACGTTGCATTCTTGTATTTCTGTGATTATTTATTTTTAAATTATGTCATTTAATATACATGTTATGTATACATATATTGTGTAATGTGGTATATATGCATGTATGCACCTGTATATAGTGAAATATATGTAATATATACATATGTGTATATATCTGTATATATAGAAATATTCTCTTCATGAATAGTAACATATGTGTATATAGTTTTCAAACAGAATTTTGCCAAAATCTTCAACACTAACCACCAGACCTCTTTCCAGTTTTGCATTAATTCATTTCTTAGTCCATATTTAAACATTTCTAACATTTAATATATTCTGTATAAAAATTTAAATATGTTTCATGCTTTTCTTTTTAAGAATGTCATCCTTTTGTCTTAAACATGAAGGTGGGTTTTGGTTGGTGATACATGTTGAAACTACTTATTTTATTGGAGTCTTCCTAAGGCACTGCCCAGTTGTCTTCTGCAGTCAGTCACTTGATAGAAGGTGGCCACACTAAGCACAGTTCCCTGCTTAGCTCACCACCACCACTGTATTTTTAGGTTCACTCAGTTGGACATGGTAGGATTACTTTTTCTTCATGTTTTCAGCTGAAAACAGATCTGTTTTGAGCACATAGCTAAATTTATATCTATTTAACTTGCATTGCTTAGAACTTGGAAATTTCTCTTGTGATAATTGGACATTTTGTATATAATTTAAGGATGTTTTCTCCTTCTATATCTTTTAGTTTGGTTCATGTGTATTTTAGAAAGTCAGTTGTCATCTATGTATTAGATAGTTCTTGTCCTTTGTTTGGAATTATTTTCCTCTCAGTCTTCTCTTTCCTATCAATTTCTCTTCTGGATCCATAGAAGCCACATCTTTCTGTATTCTTTTAAGATAAACATTATTCTCTTGAATATTCTTTCTCCACTACTTCCATTTGCTGTTTCCATTTTTATGTCTGAGACTTTTCAACAGATGGTGTCCAAACTCAGGGTCTATCACCAGGTGGTTTAGGTGGATTCTCCTGGCCCTACATTCTGCCCCGTAGATATTAGAACATTTACATTGATCTCTAGAAAGAAGAGCCAGTTCCCAGGCTCCTTTCTGTTTCCCGGAGCACTTCAGCAAGTGCACCCTTTGTGTAGTGGTATGTTTCTACTCAAAATTCTTACATCCTATAGTATTTGAGGGAGTGTAATTAACTTATGGATTTTTCTTCAGTTGGCCCTTCTGGAGACTATGGTTTGAATTGAAAATACCTCTAAAATTATATTGCACCATCTACAGTCTGTCCCTGGTTCTTGGACAGCATTTTATAGGCAAAGCAACATGAAATTGTTGAGTCTGTGATAAACATTAGTAAGTATCTTACAAACATCCTCATTTGTAAGATACTTACTAACTTTTTGTAGATGCAAGGGAAGACATGAGAGTTCTGGGTCAGAGACAAAGGACTTTGTTACTCTCATAACCTCAAACACCATGAATTTCAGCAATTTGATTTCATTCCTCTTGTCCACACAAGAGGAGATTCAGCGTGGCTGTGGTGGACGGTATTTCCATAGCTGAAGAACATTGAGTTGGGAGAATCTACCTCTTTTACAGAAAGAAGAAAGCAAATATGCTTTTTGTCCCAGAGGGATACAGTATCCTGTCTTCCAGGTTACTCTCTGCAAACACATCCCTAGTTATTGGTCTCTCATTGTTGGCACAGGCAGAAAAAAAAATGCAGGAACATAGAATTCTTAGTTGGTCACTTTCACCTGTCCACCCAAAAGTCATTTTCCTTGCTTATTTGTGTCCTTGACTTTCTGGATGAGGGTGCACCAGATCAAGACAAGTGGGATGAGAGAGGTTCAAAATATAAAATATCTCCCTGCCTTTATTGGGAAGTCCCTCTTTTACAAACCTAGGATGTGCCATTGAGCCCTGGGGCTTTCTGTCAGTCTGTTGTCCTGTGGCTTACACTGTTTATTTCCTCCTGTGCTTTGAGCTAGATTGCTTAGCAGTCTTGGTGTACTGTGAGATTCTTTGGTATTGTTTTAAATTTCTTAGTGTTCTACTAAGAGATTTATTTGAAAGTTTCAAGAAGGAATGTTGAGTATTCTTAACCTAGTACTACATTAAACTGAAAAGGTTCCAAATTTTTTATTTAATTAATATGGCTGGGATTTAGATTCCTGATAAAGCTCCAAAGAAAGTGGCAAATGATTAGAAGATATTTTATAACTGTTAGAGAAAAACATTGCTTTGTTTTGGTAACCTGAAAGAATGTAATACATTAACTGGAGAGGAAATAAGGATGGAGGCTCTTGTGTTAGTAGGATGCTCACGACTCCAGTTCAGAGAATCTTGGCTGTCTTTGCTGCAGGCAAATGGATGGTAAAGTGTTGTCATTGAAAAATGTTTTCTCTAATTTTTCAATATAGCTATGTCTCCCCTCCAGACTGTGTCTCCCCTCCAGACTGTGTCATGTTTGTATGCTTAGCAATACTTCTTTGTTTGTATCCGCCACAGAGAAAGCACTTCTGTGTAGTTCATGAATGAATGAGTAAATGAAAATATGGTCAGTGCACCACTTTTAATGCTCATGAAAAATGCAATATATATATGTGTGTGTGTGTGTGTGTGTGTGTGTGTGTGTATAATAATCTCAATTTTTTAGTTGCTTGAAGATAGTTTTGGTCATAAAATGAATGTGAAAATCCCATAGTTTAAGATGCCTGCTTTCCATAGACACTCAGTCCTTTTTTATAGATTAAGGGTCGAACAATTTTCAGAAGAAAGAGAGATGTAAAATGATTCAGTGACTGAGTTGTAGACATTGTCTCAATTATTTGCTGTTATGTTACATGGATGTAATTTTGGGTGCTTTTTTAATTTACTGGGACAATGTTTTTGTCCACTTCTTAATTCTAGCGGCAGAAAGCTTAAAGAGTTGCCTTTGGAAGCCCCAGTGTCCTTGCTTTCTAATATCTACTTTTCTCTTAATCCTGAATGTCTTGTAGTTCCTGATGAAAATATTTTTATTTTGACCATTTCTGAGGTGCAACATATGTTTTAAATCATGGCTTATATCAGAGGTCTAAACGATATGGAGGAACTAAAAGGGATGTCTAAGTAGCTACCGTTTATTATTTCAAAATTTAAAACAATTGAAGTACCTTATCCTGGTGAGATTCCCTTTCTCCATAGATATTCAGTGCTGTAGTTAAATGTGTTTTACTTCCATGTGTTTTTAAGAAGTTTTGACTACATATGAATATATTCTGAGCAACACATAAAATCATTTTAAGTTTTTTTAATTTCTTGGGTTTTTTTTTTCTTTTGAAAATTGAACCCAGAGGTGCTTAATCACTGAGCTGTATCCCCAACCCTTTTTATTTTTTATTTTGACACAGGGTCTCACTAAGTCGCTTATGTCTGACTCACTAAAGTTCCTAAAGCTGGCCTTAAACTTGCAATCCTTCTGCCTCAGCTTCCTGAGCTGCTGGGATTACATGTGTGTGCCACCATAGCCAGCTACTTTTAAAATTTCTTAAACAATATGCACATAACTATTTTTCTTCAAAATTATGCTTTGGAATATCTGTCAATCTGCAGCCTTGCCAAATTTGCTATTCTCTTATTTTTTAATTTGACCAAATCAGATATATTACAGAACTGAATTTCATTGTGGTTTTTAAATTGTGTTTCTGTGGTTTCAATGAAGTCAAGCTCCTTTTCATATATTTCTTCATTGATTGTTTTTTTCTATTATGTATATACTTTCATACTGGATGCCTGTCTTTTTAATGATTGATATTCTCTGTATGTTCTGCATAAATCGTTTGTCATTTACATATGTTATAAATTATCTTTGGATTGTTAATAGCTAATTTGTTTTCTCCAATGCTGTCAAATGAA